TATGCTGAAACTACATCTTGAACGGATTATGTGATGCGTTATACGATGCATATCGCAAGATCAGCACAGCGAAAGCGCTGTGGGAAACCTTGGATCATAAATACCAAAGCGAGGATGTCGACTCAAAGAAATTTGTGGTTGGCCGATTCCTGGACTTCAAAATGGTTGATTCCAAGACCGTGCTAAGTCAGGTAGAAGATTTGCAACTAATCTTCGACGAGATTCATGACGAGGGCATGGTGCTTAGTGAAGCCTTCCAAGTGGGATATGTGATCCACTTGTTGCCTCCAGGTTGGAAGGACTTCAAGAACTACCTTTAGCATAAGCAAAAGGAGATGAACCTAGAGGACCTGATCCAACGACTCAGGATTGAGGAGGGGAACAAGACGAATGATAGGAAAGTTGTTGTCGTTAACGAATGATAGGAACGTTGTGGAGCACGGTAAAAGCTCCAAGAGGAACAAGAAGGACAAGCGAAAGCTAGGTCCGAAAGGTGGTGTTATCAAGAACAAGTTTCTTGGTGAATGCTACAATTGTGGTAAGCCTGGCCACAAAGCGTTTGAATGCAAAGCTCCAAAGAAGAAAAACAAGAGTTCTAAAGCCAACATTGTTGGAGAGAGCAGTCAGAAGGAGGTCGAGATTAGGCTTTCGGCTATGGTGACCGAGGTGAACCTCGTGGGCTCTAACCCGCGTGAGTGGTTCATCGATACCGGTGCAACCAGGCATTTGTGTTGCAACCGTGAGATGTTCAACACCTTTAAGATCGTTAAGGGTGAAAAGGTGTGGATGGGAAACTCTGCTCAGTCTGCTGTGGAAGGCATGTGCAAGGTGGTTCTGAAGATGACTTCCGGGAAGGAACTGACGTTGAACAACGTGCTATATGTTCCGGAGCTGAGGAAGAATCTTGTGTCTGGCTCGCTGCTGAACAAGCATGGGTTCCGCATGGTGTTCGAGTCAGACAAAGTAGTTTTGTCTAAGTTAGGAATGTTTGTTGGTAAAGGATATGTAACTGATGGGTTTTTTAAGCTCAGTGTAATTCCTGTTATCAATAAAAGCAAAGTTAATTCTGTTTACTTGCTTGAGTCTTCCAATTTGTGGCATGGTAGACTAGGTCATGATAATTTTAATTCTATACGTAGATTAATTAGCATGCACCATATTCCTAACTTTCAAATTAACACAAATAACAAGTGTGAAATTTGTGTTGAGGCAAAACTAACGAAAGTACCTTTCAAATTGATTGAATGGGAAACTGAACCACTTGAATTAATCCATAGTGATTTGTGCGATTTTAGATCGATACAAATGAGAGGTGGTAATAAGTATTTTATCACATTTATCGATGATAGCACACGATACTGCTATGTGTATTTGCTTAAGAGCAAAGATGAAGCCGTTGATAAATTCATTCTTTATAAGAATGAAGTGGAAAACCAACTTAATCGGAGAATTAAGAAGGTTAGAAGCGATCGAGGTGGTGAGTACGAAGCACCTATTGGTGAATGGTGACTTATGTTCAAGTGTGTGTATCATACACGAGCGTACGGCACCTTACGCACCTCAATCGAACGGTGTTGCCGAACGAAAGAATCGTACATTGAAAGATATGATGAATGCGATGCTTATAAGTTCGGGCCTACCTCAAGGTATGTGGGGTGAGGCGATTTTAACAAGTAATTACCTTTTAAATAAGGTGCCCCGCAAGAAGCTCGATAAGACTCCTTATGAGTTGTGGAATGGTAGGAAACCTTCCTACCAGTACCTGAAAGTGTGGGGGTGTCTTGCCAAAGTGTTGGTGCCAACACCTAAAAAAGTAAAGATAGGTCCTAAGATGGTGGTCTGTATCTTTATTGGCTATGCACATAACAGTAGTGCTTATCGGTTCTTAGTACACGAGTCCCATAATCCGGACGTACATGAGAACACGATAATAGAATCAAGAAACGCATATTTCTTTGAAAATGTATTTCCTTGTAGGTCCAACGAGGGACCGAGTACGTCAAAACGGACATTTGACGAAACTATGGATAATGATAGTGGGGAATCTGAGAAAGAACCCGAGCTCGAGCTGAGACGCAGTAAGCGGGCAAGAGTTGAAAAATCATTTGGTCCTGATTTTCTAACTTACTTGTTAGAGTATGATTCGAGTACTCTAACTTGTTTATTAGAAAACGAACCCGATTTTCTATCTTGTTTGATAGAGAATGAGCCTCGAACGTATGTAGAAGTCGTGACTTCTACGGAAGGACCAATGTGGAAAGAGGCTATAAAAAGTGAAGTGGATTCTATTATACAGAATCACACTTGGGAACTTGTTGATCTTCCTCCGAGTAGTAAACCCTTAGGATCCAAGTGGGTCTTTAAAAGGAAGATGAAACCTAATGGTTCCATTGAGAAGTATAAGGCTAGGCTTGTAATCAAGGGTTACAGGCAACGCGAGGGCCTTGATTACTTTGACACATATTCTCCTGTGACGAGAATAAACTCCATTAGGATGATACTTGCCATAGCCGCGTTGCAGAACTTGGAAGTTCATCAAATGGACGTTAAAACCGCTTTCTTAAATGGCGAATTAGATGAGGGAATCTATATGGAACAACCTGAAGGGTTCGTGGTTCCGGGCCAAGAAAGGAAAGTGTGTAAGTTGGTTAAATCGCTCTATGGTTTGAAACAAGCGCCTAAGCAGTGGCACGAGAAGTTTGACCATGCAATGTTAACCAATGGGTTTAAAATAAACGAAAGTGACAAATGAGTCTACGTTAAGAAAATGATAGACGACTATGTCATTCTTTGTTTATACGTAGATGATATGATCATCATTGGTAGTAATGATCGGATGATCAAGTCTACCAAAAACATGTTAAATGCGAGATTTGACATGAAAGATATGGGTTTGGCTGATTTAATCCTTGGGATTAGAATCATTAGAAGACCTGATGGTCTCGCATTGAGCCAATCATATTATATTGACAAAATCCTTGGGAAATTTAACAAGGATGATGGTCAATTGGCTAAAACACCGTTTGATACAAACGTTCATCTAACCAAGAACCACGGAGAAGGTATTTCACAAGTGGAATATGCTCGGGTTATTGGTAGTTTGATGTATCTTATGAGCTGTATTAGGCCGGATATTGCCTTTGTAGTTAGTAAACTCAGTAAATATACGAGTAACCCTGGTGTTATGCACTGGAAGGCAATAGTAAAGGTTATGAGATATTTGAGGTATACACGTGACCTTGGACTGCACTATGGGAGATATCCCGTTGTACTTGAAGGGTATACCGACGCGAACTGGATATCTGATATTAAGGACTCTAAGTCCACGAGTGGCTACGTGTTTACACTAGTCGGTGCAGCCGTTGCATGGAAATCCTCTAAGCAAACTGTGATAGCTAGATCCACGATGGAGTCTGAGCTGATAGCCTTGGACAACGGTTGTGAAGAGGCTGAATGGCTACGCCATTTTCTGTAGGATATTCCTAATTGGGAAAGACATGTACCTCCAATATGTGTGCATTGCGATAGTTAAGCCACAATTGGGAGAGTACAGAGTCATATGTATAATGGTAAGTCTAGACATATGCGTCGTAGACATAATACCATTAGACAACTTCTCACAACTGGTGTTGTCTCGATTGACTACATAAGGTCAAAAGACAATATAGCGGATCCGCTGACCAAAGGGTTAGGTCAAGAAGTTGTGGAGAGGTTGACACGAGGAATGGGTCTAAAGCACTTGGACTAAAAAGTTCTATAGTGGATACCCAACCTAGCTGACACCTAGGTTCAATGGGACAACTAAATTATAGAACGAAGCGTGTCTGTGGGGGTCTCGGACTCCCTACCACTCCTCATTAAAACAGTGACTCCCGCATGAGGCTAGCACGTTGATGCTTTGATGATTCAACGGTTGACATGTGTGAGTATGCGGGATACTCGAGAAAGAATCACATATGTAAGAGAGAAGTGAGGGTCGCTTCAAAGGAGAATTGATGGACACAATTCTTTAGAAACTCTCGCAAAACCAGGAACGGTGACCCACGACCAAAACGAGCACACTCGTGAGAATAGAGCACGGTTGGGAGGTTCCTGTGTGAGATATTTCATCGTCTACACAAATGACAGTCGGTTCAAAGACATCGTGTTCTACCATACAACCAGTAGAGTAAACATATTTTCACAAGGGAAGATTCAAAAGGTGCAGTACCCCTTACCTATCCTATGCAGGGATCGACCGTTGAACACAATTGTTTCCGATTTCAAAATACCCTGAAAATCAATTTTTCATTCATGTGGGGGATTGTTGGAAAAATAGCTTAAAATTGCATGTTAAGTGGCTATTTTGTGGTACAATTATCAGTGGATTCCACTTCTGATTTGGGTCGGGTCAAAGTGGATTCGGGTTCTTCGTAGTGAGACGAAGTGATTGATATATTGTACGCTCAAAACGGATAATGGGTGAATGAGATATTGATTCTCAAAGTAGACCCATTTGAGTTGGAAAATGAAGGGAAAAAGTGAAGCTTTTGTCCCACATTGGTTTGGGAAGAGGATTTGCCTCACTATTTATACAACAGCTCTTTTAAGACTTATTGAATTGTATAGCATAGAGGCATTTTCTCGCGTAGAGACTTCTAACTCTCTTAGTTTTATAGTAAATTTTTAATATAATAAAATCATTTACCAAGATAATAAAATGTTTGATTTTTTATTCATTGAGTGTTGTGAATTGACTAATCTCACCCTACGTTAACAAAAAAAAAAAATCATATATTATCATGCTAGATGGTGAAAAAAAATGTTGGTCATGTTGCCTTGTCCATATTCAAATGATTAGTTTAGTTTGTATGTAGGAATGTTAAATAAAAGCAATTATGTTTGTCAAGCATCTTGTGCTCAGCTGACATTTGTGTAGCTCTCCTTGAAAACGACCACTATAGTGATTTTTTCTCAATTTATTCATTAATTCTAATAGTCAAGGACTAAATTAGGTATTAACAAAAAAAATACTTTGAACTCTAATATAATACTGACTACAATTCATCAACATAATAGGCAAAATACACAATGATTGAAGACATGGAGGGTGCAATGCATCTACAAGATTCACCAATAAGAATCCTTTCGGAAAAGATTAAAAATGTAAAACAATTATCTTTAGAAGCATGTATATTCAAAGTGCATGAGAAGCTGCGAAAAACAAACCCAGAGGCTTATACACCTTCGACAATTTCCATCGGGCCTTACCATCATGGAAAGTCCGAATTGAGGAAGATGGAGAGGTCGAAGGAATTGTATACACAGTCCTTTTTAGAAAGAAGGGCAGGATTACGTGTGGAGGATTGTTGGAAGAAATTAAAGGATTTGCAAGGCAGAGCTGAGAGGTATTATGGTGATCTTGATGACATAAAATTTGTTGACAATGATGATTTCTTGAAGATGTTATTGCTTGATGGTTGCTTTATAGTGGAATTTGTTATTAGACAATCACGTCTTGTCATGAGGCATAAACGCATAGTTGATCCCATTTTCAAGATTCAAGTGATGAGAAGTAATATTTTTCGTGACATGTTGCTCCTGGAAAACCAACTCCCCTTCTTTGTTCTGCAAGCACTCTATGACATGATTAGTATTGATCATCATCAGCCTGTCAAACCAGAATTCTCGGAGATGGTGAAATGTGCATTTGAGCATTGGCTACCAAAGAAAACTGTTACTATCTCCCTACCGGTGTACCCTAGCCAAGAGATAAAGCATTTACTTCAGTTAGTGCACATTCTCTGCCAACCCCAAAATAACTCAGGGCAGATTCAGCAGCAGAAGGCATGTTCTTCTTCTTGCTGCTTTTGGAAACAACCACAAGGCCAAGGCGGCAGCATCGGCGGCTCTGATATTGAATCCCAAAGTCTTAGTAACGGACAACATAGGCATAAGCATTGGGCATGCTTTCCTTGCAAGTTTTGGGAACAACCACAACAAACTACAGACGTTCATGAGGTTGAATTTTGCACTATACGTACTGCAAGTGAGCTTCAAGAAGCTGGAGTTCGCTTCAAAAAGCTTGGCAAGATTAGTGACACTACCTCTAATGAAACCATATGTCTATTTGATATAAAGTTCAATCACGGAGGCGTATTAGAGATCCCCTCTTTCGCTCTCTATGATTCAACAGAAACTTTCTTCAGAAATCTCATTGCCTACGAGCAACATTCGCGGTATATGCGTCCCAAGTATTTCACAGATTATGCCGTGTTCATGGATGATCTTATTAATACGGAGAAGGATGTCAACTTACTTCGTCTTAAAGATGTTTTTATAAATGGATTGGGAGATGACAAAGAAGTGACCCTTCTTTTTAACAACCTTTGCAAAGGGGTTACGTATTCCAGTAATGACTTCTATTATAAAGACGTGTGCAAGGAATTGAATCGACATTGCAAAAAACCCTGGAATGCGGCAATGGCAAAACTAAGACGCAATTATTTTCACAGTCCATGGGCAGGGATTTCTACCTTTGCAGCTATATTGCTTCTTTCGCTCGCTATTGCACAGACTGTCCTAACTGCCCTTGGTCTGCACAAGTAATTTCATCAATGTCTACTTCTGTTTATGTTATTAAATCTACATCTATCTACAAATCTAATAAGAGCCAATAATATTAGGCCCTTAACTGGAACAAACAAATGTTGGTGGTATTGTGTTTCTTAAAATGATTGGTTCATATTATTTTAATTTTAGTATTTTTTTTATGATTTTTTTATTTATCCCCTATTATATTATTTTCTTTCCTTAAATAATCCTAAATTCCGTTAGTATAAACTTTACTAAAGGAATATTACGTTAACTATTTATTATTAACCTACTCATTAATTTCTATAAGTAAGGTATTAGGTTCGAACCTCATCCCAATTAGAGTATACATAATTGTTAAACATATATATGTAAGACTTTTCCGTATAATATATATTATATATTATGGGTCTTCCTTATGTGGTGCAAGTGGACTAGGCTCATTAAGTAATTGGTTGGACTGGACATTTAGGTTGAAGTCTTATTCCACCAATGTGCCTATATAAAGCTTGTATTGATGGGATACAAGATACATGATTCATTATTATGGTACTCATACTGCTCAGAAAATACCAATACACCATCTAGGGTTCTGAGTCAAGTATGAGACAAAACGGCTAACCCTATTCTGCAGATCTACAATACAACAGGATATCAACTATGGCTGGAGATCTACAATGCTTCCGCTTTCGCTGCTACGAGTTAAGTTTCTCGTAGATTATGCTTTGTATATTTAAATCTCACAATATATACTACGAATATTTTAAAATGTATTAAAAATATATAATAAAATTTAACATAAACTTTAGTCAAATAATTAGTGCGACTAAATACATAGCGTTCATAAACATCAAAGATTATAAATTATGTATTTTGAAAATCATTTGATTTTCTTACATTTTAAAAAAAAAAATAACAAATTTAGGTTAAGTTTTTTTATTTATTTATTTAATCTTCTTTTGATTATTTAGAACAAAATTTAATATTTCTGTTATGCTATATATATATATATATATATATATATATATATATATATATATATATATATATATATATATATATATTTGTTCTTGGTTTCGTACCATGTTTGGTGGGATTAATTTTGTAAAAATTAAATCCCTTGTACTAGTTTCGTACTAGTTGTGGTGGGATTATTTTTTGATAAAATAAATTTCTATTTTGTGAATATATATTTTGTATATATATGTTATTTTGATTTTGTACCAAAATTGATTGAAATTAATTTTTTATAAATTTAAATTCCATTTCCTTTTCGTATAAATAAATATCTTATAAAGGTGCCTACCCTTACCTGTTGAGTCTATACTAATATAGATTTTTTTTTTTTTTTTTGAATGTTACTGGCCCTATTACATTGGAGTATCTGAGGCTTGAACTCGTAACCTTCGAAATGGAAGTCTAACCCGGGTACCATTAGACCACATAGTCTTAGTATATACTAATATAGATAAATGATCAATATTTATCAAAATTTAAATGTCTACAAAATATATCATCATTTTGTATAAAAAAAAATTAGTAGGAAATATCATCATTTTCATAAGAAATAATTGTAGAGAATATAATCATTTTGTAAAATTTTACTAGATAATATCATCATTTTAGCTAATAATACCTACAAGCATTTTACCTATAAATAATAAATCATTATTATATATCACTTCATCCATCTCAATAGTTTTTAGAATTTTCAAATGAATCCTTCACATTCACCACTCAGTCCATTTCTCAATTTCTCACAACTTTCACATAGTGATAGTAATAAAGCTAATCAAAACTCACAACCCTCCATTTTCCTTTGTTTTTATAATGAACCATGTCAATTACACTATTTACGTAGAATGTTTCAAAGTGTTCCATCAACCTATCACTAGCCTGAGCAAGCAAAAAAGAATGGAATAAGGTTCAAATTGGCCACTGAACGTAACCTGAAAATGCAATTAGGCCACTGAACGAAAATAAAGTGCAATTAGGCCATTGAACACTCCAAAAACGTGCAATTAGGCCACTGAACTCTCCAAACGTATGCAATTTCACCGGATAGCAGGTTACCATCAATTTTAGCAGGTTACCTGCTTACGTGGCAGCTGAGTTGGCATTTTTAATAAATTTTAAATAATTTTTAATAATTAATTTTAATAATAAATTTTATAAAAAAAAATTGAAAAAAAAATAAATAAATAATAAAATAAAGTCATTTTTATTTTTAAAAAAAAAAATTAAATAAAAATTTATTATTAAAATTTATTAAAAAATATTTAAAATTTATTAAAAATGACAACGCAGCTGCCACGTAAGCAGATAACCTGCTAAAATTGAGGGTAACCTGCTGTCAGGTGAAATTGCACATTTTTGGAGTGTTCAGTGGCCTAATTACACTTTTTTTTCGTTCAGTGGCCTAATTGCATTTTCAGGTTACGTTCAGTGGCCAATTTGAACCTTATTCCTAACATAAGAATATACAAGCATTGCAAAATTATAGGGAGAGACTAACTCATGCAGTTTCAAAACTTGTTGGATTTTAAAAACAAATTTTGTATTGGAAGGAAAGTGACTTAAATAAAGCTTTAAAAAAAAAAAAAAAAAAAAAAAGCCATTCAATTATATCATGAGGTTGAGAATATTTTTTTATTATTATATATTTTTGCATGTTTTGTGAAGTGCTAAAGAATGAAGAGAAATAGTGTAACCAGTATAAGGGGCAGTCGATGTTGACATAACTGGAAATAGGAGTCCAAAGCAAACAAAAAATATCGAGTCGGGTAAATACACATCATCATCAAATATATTTCCACAAGTGAAAACTCGTGGAAGTGTCCACCTTTCGTCCCATAGGAAGGGATGCTTCGAAGGCGAAAGGGAAAATAAAGCAATCACCAAATATAATAATATATGACTGTTACTCATTTTTTAAAGTGATAAAGTATTGTGTACACCCCACATCAAATGTTCATACACTTGCAAGTAATTTTCTTTGCAATTGTGAGTTGTGTCCATAACTCAACTTTGATTGCTTTTGAAGTAAATATCCAATTATCCATCACAACTGTTGAAAATTGCTCATCACACTCAAATTACATGATCCCTGGTTTATGCAATATCAGAGAACTCTGAACAGAAAAACTATAGATACACTGTAGATATATAGCCCTAACTCCTAAGTCCTAAATGATCAAGAATTTGCACTCCTATGCATCATACATAGAGCAAAATTTCAGCTTATTACTAAGCAAAACTTCACCACCTGTTCTCCGGTTGGCTTTAAAGTTTCCGCTTAGAAAATCAATAAAACATTGCTTGGTGAGTCTCGGATCTTTAATCCAGAGCGATGACCTTTCGTGGAATGGTATCACTTCGATATTTTCCATTCACTCTCACTCAACGTTCTTGTGAACACATCGTTTTTCTGCACCAGATCATAGAACTGTAAGCGACACAGCAGCAGATCGAAGCTTGATGCCATCGTCGTTCCATTTGTTCTGAGGGGCTGTTGCTCCAGCGATGAATGCCTGGAAGTAATGCAGTCCGAGAATCAGTTAATTTATCAAGTGTTATAATCTAAGATTGGGCCTAGTTCACCCAATTGGATCCTGCGCCCTTGAAATGAAAGCGGGTGAACACAAAATGGACCGAACAGGCTCTGATACCATGTTATAATCTAAGATTGGGCCAAGGTCTCCAATTGGGTTATAATGCATACAGGCCAAACCACACTAAAAGATTGAATCCAATCGGTTAGCTAGTCTAACAGATGGCCTTATAAACCCATATGTTCAACGTAAGTAATAGACAAGGAGCAAGAACGTCGGTGATATACCTTTCCACTGTTAACGGCAGCTACTAGTGCAATGTGCTGTTCGTCTCGTCCAAACTCATAAAAGTAATAGGTCCTATACAAGTAGAGAAACACTGCATAGGTTACTTTAACGTGGTAAATCCAATAGAATATAACGATTGCTTTAATAAAGTGCAACTATATATAAGCCTTTTAAGGAAGAATAAACAAGTGGCTTGTTAGGATAAGCGTTTACCACTACGCCAAAAGCTATAGCTAGTTGCTCCCCACATTTCGAAAGGCAGGGTGATGGACTTGACCCTTCAGGCCTCCGCCCACCATAGCTACGAGGATACGGCATCAAAATCTAGTTGTAAATGGACACTTGCCCATACTAATAGGCGATTTTTGTAGGTTCACCTTATAGAAATTTGCAACCACTCCAACATAACGCAAATGACTTATCATATAGCAGCATTGACATTCTCCATGAAATTTAATATACACTCACCTAAAACCTTCATCTTCCTTTATTTTGATTGTGCAGGCCGAATAGAGAGTAGATCCACCTACCATAAAAGGCACCAAAAAGAGAAAAAGATCGAGTTAGTGCAAGCTAGATGGATATAAGTAAAGTTTCGGCACATGTTAAAATACCAGGAACGAATATCCTCGCCGCTTGCTTCAATGAACCCAAGTCACTTATGTCCTGGGCCTGTTCAGTTTAACAGGCACGGTTAAAATTAGAAAATCCATGCACTTGTACAATCAAGTGTAAACTTTTGTGTGCGGGCCCCGGGGGGCGACGGAATTTCGCCTTTTGTGGGCAAGTGTAAACTTTCCTACTCTAAAAGCCAATGATATAATTATTACTCCGTATTTTTTTGGTAAGATCACGAGGTGTCTTGAGCAGGTCCTAACTATAGGAGGCACATTTAAGCTCGTACTATACTCGGACTAATCCCTGTTCGCACCGGGGCGGCCCAATTAAGGGGCAAAGTGCTGGCCAGATTGGTTTTTTAATACGAGAGAGAGTTTGAACTCCCGACCTCTCTTAAGGGACAAGAGTACACGGCCACTCACGCCAACCAAGCTGGTTAATGATATAATTATTTGTAATTGGGTAACACTACAGTAGTGAATTAGAGTTCGTTAACTTCCGATCTTGAATTCCCAACTACCACTGAGGAGTCATGGATATAGTTATTTCGTTCAAACAACAAATCAAAAAGCAAGAACCAAAACAAAGGCAGATGCAATTCTTACATAAAACACGTTACAAAGTTAATATGAAGATTAAAGTAAGTAGAACGAGTAATTAGGCCAAATGATTGAACTTCACAAACCTCCAAGAAGGTAATCTTGAGTTGATTAGTCGGGCGAATCACAACACTAACAACTTCAGATCTGTTCTTAAAAAAGAGGAAATAGAGATTTCAGTACATACAATGAAAAACTGTTATTCCCTGAGAGACAGAAACGTAAACTGTGTCCTCTCTAGAGACAAGGAATATATTGGGCGAGACATTTTATACGGGTCAAACAATTAGAATCACCCTTATAGTGCCAACACAACAACCTAAGATGCCTGTTTATCCTATGTTCTTCAATGATATAATGGAGTCGAGTGTTGCAGATACTACAACATATAAAACTTTGCATTCCAAAATGAAAAACATTGGTAATTTTATTATACACAGCACGGCAAAAGGTCAAACACGTGAAGGAATAGATATCGAGATCAGAATATCTACCCATCAGGAGAAGCAAAGCGTGCAGCAAAAGTCTTTGGTTTAGCTTTATCTCCATAGAGTGACAACCCAGCGTTAAAATCCTAGAAAAATTCAATCACTACATCAAGAAAAGCATTTAAGAAGATATGATATGTAGAAACTTGTGAAGTCTTTTATAAAAGAGTTGATTCCAAGAACAGTCCCTTGACTATTGACCTTTATCAATTTGTATCCTCGACTTTCAATTTAACCATAATTCGTCCCTTGACTATTGGTTTTGTTCCATATGTGGTCATTGGTTAACTATATGTTTAATAGGCCTTAAATTTAAGGGTAAGAACTCTCCAGATTTACATATTTAAGGGTGTTGAAACAAATGATATAATCGCCTCAATTTTGGGGTGGAGACTTATAAGTACCTCGGTCCAAATTGGCTTATGCATCAACCTATTCAGTCTATGAACCCAATTTACCCATCTCAGTAATAAGTCAATTTTTACATTCTTACCCAAGGCTTACTAAATGAATATTTAACAGAGGACCAAATCTGGAACAAAATCAATAGTTAAGGGACTACTTATTGTCAAATTAAAAGTCGATGATAAAAATTGATAAATGTCAATAGTGGAATTTACTCTTTATAAAACAAGCTAGAAGCATAAACTATGCCCAACATTTAGGTCTGTCCAAAGCCATTGGTGTAGTCATAAAACTGGAAAAAGGTATAGTTAAATATAGTATAATTGGGTAAATTGAATGAGAAGTGCTAAAGAATTAACCTATTCTTCTGATAATAAAACTAAAGAACCCTAAAGGTTGAACCTTTATGACAAGAAAAGAAGAGAATAGAACTTCCATACCTCAGGCTCCGTGATGTCCTCAAATTGGGGCGGTACCCGAATGGCAAAGCCATCGCCATAGAACTGGAGCCAAGACTTGGTGTTGGCAATGCCTGAACGAAAAGAATTTGGTGATGATGAGGGTGGTTGAGGTGTCTCAGCAGAGGATTTTGGGAGAGGGTATTGAAGGGACAAGAAGAGAAAAGAGTTGAGTGAAACGGAGGTGGTGAAGAGGAGAAGCCTTCTTGAAAGAGAGTTGGGGTTGAGAGAGATGAGGGGTTCTGAATTGGGACTTTTTAGGGGTTTTGGGGGGTGGGAAGTGAGGGAGAGCAGTGTAGACATGGCCATGGCCATGAGAGCAGGGAGCTTGGTGTGAGATTCATGGGTGGCTGGTCATGGGGAACTAGATAATGTGGGACACAATAATGAGATACATTTTGAGTTATCAAAATGATATTCAACACTTCTACTACATAGACCCTCAAATTATACTCTTAAATTTTATTTTTGATATTACCGGACACTGATAGATTACTATTTTGTGTATTCCAATATAAATTTCTACATCAAAATTTTGTGTATGAAAATAAAAATTAGAAGTAGAAAATAAGAGTATATATAGTATTTTCCTATTCAACCATTGATAACTCCTTAGTGTAACTCAAAATATATCATTTTCCATTTGGTATGATGGCCAACTCTCGATACCCAACAAATGGACATCCTAGTATCGAGAGGCATGTATATCTTGAGTTGTCGAGAGGCATGTATATCTTAAGTTGTTCTAGTACCTAAAGAGATCTACCAAGGCCATATATTATGAGTACCACATATTCTAGTTACCAAAGAACTACAGAACAACTAACTTGGAAGATTTTGTGTACATACAAAATACTAAAGTCATTTCAAAAACAAAGATGAATCTTCAAAGTAGCCTCCCATCGGTCTAATAAATACGATTTAATCATTAATTGCCAATTTATAACATCTATTTTCTTTCTCTTTTTCTTTCTCTTTAAGATATGGGTCTGGATGAAGCATTCGATAACCACCATCCTATGCTACTATCCAAATCCCCTGAGCCAAAACCATGCTTAGGGAAAAGAAGAAGAAGTTCTGGTCAGCGAAAAGGTACCATTTGCAGTTCCCCTAACGCCTATCGTGATGATAGGCTTTGAGACCAAGACAAACTTGACTCAAGTCACTTCCATAAAGCTCTCGAAGAGCATGTGAAAAGACAAACTAAATGCGTCAAAGAGTGACCCTCAATTTTAAAAGGATAGGTAATAAAACAACACACTACTTATCACACCCTTCTTTTGAGAGCTCAATGTCTAGAGGAAATATTCGAGTATTTTTCCATTCTCATCCCCTTACCCGTAGCCTCCACCCAGATGTCATATTTTGGAGGTTGAGAAGAAGGTGTGTTAGGAAATTATGTTGGTAAAAATTTATTCCTAGTCTAGTCATTTTGACATTTTTTTCGTATTAAACATTTCTCATGTACAGAACTCACAACCAACATATCAAAGATCTTTTGTCAGCCAAAGGTTATTGCGGAAGTCACTTGTAAGGAGGATGAGAGCCTCAACAAAACTCTCAAGAACCGAGACTCCAACATTGTCACACTGGAGGACAAAGTAAAGGAGTTCGAGAAAAAAGATTGTGGACCTCAACATCTAAAAGGGATCCTTGAGCTTTCAAGCAAATGCCTTTGCCAACTCATATTCCTAGCTACAAAACTTGACAATTGCCATCTTCACCAATATTACCATTGCCAAGCCTTTCTTATGCAACATGCTAACTACCAAGGTTGGCCTTGACATGATGAAAAAGTGCAACTAGTGGACTTTCATGTGCGGAAAGATGACAATGCAAATTAAGATTGACACCAACTTAAAGAATGTGTTAAGAGAATAAGGTTATGCTATTGTTTTTGCCACCTTGCCTAAGGTGATTCCCGATTTTGACTAGCTTCCTTACATTAATGCCGATTCTTTAACCCCAAGCAATGGACCATTAGCTTTGTAATCTAAATGGTCGGTAACTAAAACCAAAGAGTAAATATCCACCGGTCCTCGTCATGAAGTTAAATAAAAATACAAGTTAAAAGTACAAATTTATAATTAATGGTATAAATAGATCTAGGTCAAACATACACCAATGAAAGTGCAACCTTTTGCACTATAGAGTGTTAAGTAATTTACCTTTTGCATTGGTGCAACTAATGATAACGTTAAGTGTACTTAATATTGTTGCTCGGGTGTATATTATAGTGTTGCACTTTATAATGTTGTTAAATACACTCTATAGTGTTATTACTTGCACTTCAAAGTTTGATGTGTAATTTATATTGTTGCACTGTATGAAATTGTTACCTGCATAGTTGCACTCTAAACACATTTTGCTTGTACTTCAAATTAAAGTTTGAGTTATTTACAAAAAAAAAAAATGTCATACTGTATTTTTATTTATTTTTAAAAAAATTGCTTCTTATCTATTAGATCTTTCCATATTGACGACTCTAATTTGTTCATAATTCTCTCATGCACACCAATTTTCATTTGACCTAATAGCAATAAAATGAAGAAGGTTTGGGAGAAAGAAGAAAATGAACACCGTGTGGCTCTGGAAAATGACTTCCCCAAGAAAGGGGAGAAGTTATTTTTCAGGAAAACCCCATTAATTATTTTTTTCATTTGACTCAAAGTTATTTTTCATTGACTTTAGTTTTCCATAATTTGTCAAACCGTGTAATCCTGCCATCCAGAAAAATGATTTTCATAAATTATTTTCCAGGTTTTCAAACACACCCTAAAAAGAAAAATACAAATTCATCTTACATAAAATAGTCTCATATAAACTTTTTTGAATGATAAAAATTCATAATCACTCTTTAAAGATGTATACGAAATACTGTATATTCAACGCCTATGTAAACTACACAGACAAGTTTTTGAATTCTACTTACTCTATCACAATGTAGTATGCTACTTTCTTAACCTACTGAAACACAAAGAGTCAATACTGCTCTCGCAATTAGGAGAATCACTTTATACCACTAAACCACAAGATTATTAGTATGTGTAGTTACTTTCAATTTATTTATAAACACACAAATAATTAATTACAGATATAAAATATATCAAATACAGAATTTAAAATTATTTTGTATCAAGGTCTACAAGGTAAGGTAGACTGGTCCAGTGTATAATTTGCGGAAATAGAATTCTAAAAATCTTACCCGCCAAAAAGTTGACTGCAAAGAGCCCAATATTTATTCGCGGTGGGGATCATGTTATCCATACTCAAAGGCAGCCAACCAATCCAAAATGGCAGAATTCAAACCACCTCAATTCTGAACCAAACAATAACTAAAAAAAAAAAAAAAAACAGAAAACAAAAATCGAAAAACCACCCACAATTCTCCTCTTCCCATCCCCCATTCTTGATTTGTTACTGTTCAAATGGAGACCCTTCTCTCCACTCCATCTTTCTGTCCACTCTTCAATCCCAAACCTTCAAGACCTTCACTTTCTTCCCAACACAGATCAAATTTTCTCACTTTACCAAAACCCCTTTCTTGCAGCCTCAGAAGAGAGCATTCTCTGCCTGAAAGACAACATCTTTCTCTACCCAAAACATGGATTTCCCATGTCCATCAAGGCCTAGCTGCCCTTGCCATTTCTCTTGCTCTCAATTTCTGCCCTGTTTTGCCCTCTGCTTCTGCACTGGCATCTGAGTTTGATGTTCTTAATGAAGGCCCACCCAAGGAATCTTATGTTGTTGATGATGCTGGGGTCCTTAGCCGGGTCACACGATCCGATTTGAGGCGATTGTTGGAGGATTTGGAGTTCAGGAAAGGCTACCACATTAACTTCGTCACTGTCCGCAAGCTTACTGTAAGTAGCCATTTCTTGATACATTAACATTGTAATACCACATTGCAACTATTGGGAAACTATTAAACTTTGTGAATTTCTATATCCCTTAGTAAGTTAGTAGTAACTATTTGATTTGATGTTTGTTTAATTCATTGATGTTGAGGCTACACAATTTCAAGATTTCAAGAATAAAAATGTCAATAGTGTTAGGACAACGCTTACCACTAGACCAAAAACTATACCCAGTAGTGAAGGGACAACTTTATTTTCTTATACTGGCGTAGCAGACAACGTCACATTTTGGAAGGCAGAGTGTTGGACTTGTCCCGACAGATAGTGGTAAGAATGTGTTGTTGAATTGTTCGTATTTCTATGGTTGTAGAGCAAGGCTGATGCGTTTGAGTATGCTGACCAAGTTTTGGAGCGTTGGTATCCCACGGTTGAGGAAGGTAGCAATAAGGGCATAGTCGTGCTGGTAACGAGTCAGAAGGAAGGGGCAATCACGGGTGGACCTGAATTTGTGAAGGCAGTTGGTGACACTATTCTTGATGCTACGGTTTCAGAGAACCTCCCAGGCAAGAAACCTTTTCGTTTTTTCTTGGATTCTCATAGTCTGGTCCTTTTAGTGTTTTTGTGCAAAGTAATTGACTTCATTAGCTCTATTATTGTTGTTGTTGTGTTACAATGGCTGCTAAATCCCGTTTACTTCAGTTTTCTGTTCTCCAATTCTCCGGTTTTCCAAGAAATGTTTTATGCTTGTTAAGATTGCTTCTACTGATCAGAGTGAGTACCGGTTTCAATCTGTGTAGTCTTGGCAACTGAGGAGAAGTACAACGAAGCAGTCTACAGCACTGCCAAGCGCCTCGTTGCTGCCATCGATGGGCTTCCTGACCCTGGTGGGCCCGTGTTCAAGGACAACAAGCGAGAATCCAACTTCAAAACCAAAGAGGAGACGGAAGAGAAAAGAGGGCAGTTTTCACTTGTAGTTGGCGGTTTGTTAGTGATTGCTTTTGTTGTTCCAATGGCACAATATTATGCGTATGTTTCCAAGAAATGAACTGTAGTATCGATGTTCCTGTGACTTGAGTAAACATGGATACACTCTCAGTGTACAAATTGTGATTTGGGAAATAAATAATTCATACTAATTTTGGAAACAACAAATCAAATGTTCACCTATTTGCTTCTCTTTCATAGAATGAACACTTTACTTTACATCCTTTCAAAGCTGATCATGAGGAATGGCATTTTGCAGGCTATTGTTATTTCGAGTAATAAAACAGTAGTTGATTAGAACTTGAGTTTAAGCAAGAAAGGCATCTTGTCTGCAAAAGGTGGATCCGAATATTTCCCGGTGAGAATTTGCATTGCAGCATACTGATTTGCAGCCTCTGTGTAATGAATGCCATCCCAGTTTATGTATTCAGTACTATCATTGCACCCTTTGGCTGTGAATGTGGTTCCATTTATGACCTTAGTCTGACCACAAGATACCCTGCTATTGTAGTTCAGTGGAGGGCCTCCAACTCCACAGCAAGCCAT